GGCACCTGAGGGTCTGTTTCTGGGGCTGGAGCCAAGTTGGTGTTAGGTGACAGGACTCTGTCCTTCGCCCCTCCCCTATTTGGCTCCCCCGGGACCACCTCTGTGCTGCCCTCAGCCAGACCCTGGGGAGGCAGGCAGGGCCACTGTCTGTTCAGAGGCAGCAAGAGAGGCCAGGCAGACTTGGCAGTGCCAGGCTGTGCCCACCCCCCTCCTCAGGCAGATGTGTGTTACTGCTGAAGGGGGATCTTTTATGTGTGCCCTGGGAAGATGTCAGTCTGGGCAAGCCGCCAGAACCCCCGGGGTTGGTTGCTGAGAGTGGGGAAGTGAACTTTGTGCGACCAGCCTGAGAACCCACCACGCCTGGCAGCCGAGAGGCAGACCTGCAACTGCTTCTTAGGGGCCTGGGAGGGACCTGCAAGTCAAAGTCTCTCTCTGAGCCTTGCAGTTTTGTCCCCAGGGCCCGGTGACTCCTCCACAAAGTACAGGTCCCAGCCTGGGTTGGGCTGCCACCAGCCTCCCCCATCTCTCCCACTCATTCACTACTGGCCAGGTCAGAGGATTCTTTGCACTGAATGCACTCACTCACTCATTCATTCCAAAATATTTATTAAGCATCTGATCAGGGGCTGGGACTCAAAAGTTAGCCTAATGGGCCACCCCTCCCTGGTAGGGCTGACAGTTGAGTGGAGAACACAGATAACCAATATTGCAAACATTATGTTTAGGAGACATATTGTCCTTTTTAAATAAATATTTTAATATATATTTAATATATATCATCCTTTTTAAATTGCATGCATATATATATATAAATTTCAGAGGAAGGGAAGGGAGAGGGAGCGATGGAAACATCAATGATGACAGAATCATTGATCGGTGCCTCCTGCATGCCCCCTACTGGAAATCGAGCCTGAAACCTGGACATGTGCCCTTGACCAGAATTGAACACAAGACCTTTCAGTCTGCAGGCCAACACTCCACTGAGCCAAACAGCTTAGGGCAACATATTGTCCTTTAGAAGGTGGTAAGTGGTACACAACCATTCAGAGCCATGAAAGGGGTAAGGAAGGTGTGTGGTGTGATGTCTGCATGAAGACCTGGGGGGAGGGAGGGACAGTGTTATATGGACATCTGCAGGAAGAGTGTCTGGCAGACGAACAGCCTGTGTAAATGCCCTGAGGTAGTTGTGCCTGCCTGTGTGGGAAGGGATATTGAGGACCTAGGGGATGAGTGTAGATGACACCCAGAGATGGCAGTATGGGGCTAGACTGTGTAGACAGGTATAACACTCTAAGTCAGTTTATAATGCTGTTGCCTAAAACTGCTCCTGACTCCCCAGTGCCTTTGAAAGGAACCCCAGTTTCTCCCACCATCCCGAGCTCTGGGCACACAGGCCTCCCCACACTGAGCCTCCAGTAGGCCCAGGCCATTACTCTATTGTTCTCCTCCATCGAGGCCACCCCACAGCACTGGTCATGACCTCTCAGCCACCACTTCACACCACTCTCAGCAGTTGCGGTAGGTGCAGATCCAAAGCTCTAAAGTCCATAGTTTGGGGACCAGTGAGGGGCCCTGGAGTTGAAGCTTCAAGAGCTGCCTGGAAAGTCCATGTCCACACTCAGGAAATACTGAATGTCTGGTCAGCCACACATGGCAGGACCAGGACCCCACACTCACCTCTGGGAAGGGGGGTGGCAGGTCTAGACACCATTGTGCAGGACAGAGCCCTGGTGTCCACCCCAAGTGGCAAGTGACCTTAGGCAGAGCATCCCTCTCCGGGGCCTCCGTCTGCACCATGGGGTGGGGCCTGCAGTTGGAGACTTAGGACTCATCTGGGTTTCCTGTCCCTGCTGAGCTCACTGTCCCCAGAACCTCTGGTGTGGTCAGGAGGGGCGGGAGGACCAGTGACAGCCCTTTGTTTCAGGTAGAGGGACTGAGGGTCATGGCACCAGATGGGGGTTGATGCGAGGTTTGGGGAGGCCCACAGAGGCCTCCACCACAGTCTGTCCTCACGGTGCCCAGGGAAGCAGGTGGAACATCTCCAAGCAGCCTGGGGGATGGGCCCTGGTTCACCTGACAGCCCCTCTGCCCCGAGCAGGCTGTGACCCCGAGACCTTGGTTCCTGAACCCTCCAAGCACTTGCCAAAGATGTTCTCACAAATCCGGACTTGGCTGCTTGGACTGCTCCCTCTCACCCCTGGGGACACGGAGGTAGGTTCAGTGAGATGTCACCAAGAACACGCCCAGTGGCACAGGGCTGCTTGCTGAGTGAAGGGACAAGGGTACCTAACGTGAGGAAAAGGGACCAGGCTGCTGCCCAGGTGCTAATGGTGTTTATTTTCTATGTGCACAAGAACCGGATGGCGGTTGACACGCCATGAGCATCTCTCCCTGGAGGCCGAGTCCCGCCCACCTCTCCATTCCACACCCTCCACCTGCTGCTCTGTGCGCCACAGAATCACGTCGGACCCCACAGCACTGACCATCTTTTATTTCAAAAATTTTTTAAAAATAATTTTGATTTTAGAAAGAATGGGGAGGGGGGAAACATTGATGTGAGAAACATTGATTGGTTGCCTCCCATACTCCCAACCAGGGATCAAACCTGCAACCCAGGTATGTACCCCAAACCCACAACCCTCTGGTGCATAGGTCAATGCTCTGAGCCACCCAATTAGGGCAGCAAGGCCCATCTTGATGAAGAACCCAGTGCAGCTGCCTCATCTGACCCCGAGCAAGCAAACACCCGCTCAAGCCCCCAGAGTTGGAGGATAGGCTGACCAGGAAGCCTAGCCAAGCCATCCCTAGTGAAGGGTCAGCCGCATTATCACCAGTGGATCTTCCCACTGGGCCTCGGGCCTCTCCAAAGACTCCTCAGCCCCATGTATATCACTGGCGTCCAATCAATGTTGCTGAGCATGAGTAGGCATGGTAACTTATGGGCCACAGAAAAGTTAAAGTGCTGTGTTTTCAGGGACCCCTGGGCTAAGGGAGGTTGGCACTCAGGTGTGTCCAGCTGGAAGGCATACAGGACCCGGCAGTAAAAACAAGGGGCTCTCACCAGACTGGTGTGGCTCAATGGTTGGGCGTCAACCCATGAATCAAGAGGTTGCTGGTTGGATGCCAGATGAGGGCATATACCTGGGTTGTGGGTTGGATGCCCAGCAGGGGGACATGCAGGAGGCAGCCAAAAGATGATGTTTCTCTCAAAATCAACAGAAACACTTTAAAAAACAAGGGGCTCTGTGAATTTACTTCCTGGCCCATTCCACTCAGCAGTGTGCATGTGGCACCCTCTGGTGGCAGCCAGAGGGTAGGGCCGGGCAGGGACAGTCCCCAATAACCAGGCTTGGGATTTCTGGCATGGAGCTACTTTGGTTCCTTTCTGTGAAATAAGGGGTGGCTTTCCCCAGGCTGTGGGGTGCAGGATAAACAGGGTGAACCCCGTCCTCCCCCAGAAGCTTGGGGAACTCAGACTGGTAGCTGACGGCTGTGTGGCCTTAGAGGCCTCAGTGAAGTGCCTGGTGGGCACAGCCTATTGTTTCAGCTTCATGGCAGTTATGCCGCACCGTCCCCAACACCGGAAAAAGCTTGCTTCTCTGGAGATCCCGGAAGAGCTGGTCCAATGCTCCCCACGACCCTCACCTAGACCTGCTTACAGCCTGAGGCGTGTCCAGGAGGAGGAGTTAGAAATGGGTTAACCCTGGACAAGCTCTTTCCCCTCTCTTGGACTCAGTTTCCCTCCTATACCAGGTGGGAGGCCCAGATGGTACCTGCTAGTCCAGGGTTCAGTGAGGCCCTCTCTCCTGTGATCTCCTGCTCCATCAGAATGCTCCCTGGCCCTTCAACCTGTCCACACTTCCTACCTGTCAGGGTGCAGTCTGGATGAGCAGGCACCCCCTTCTTGCTTTCTAGGCCCCAGCCCTCCTCAGCTGGAACAGTCCCAAGAGGCCAAGCTCCAGGTGCTCCCACTTGCACCTTCCCCTACACAGCTCTTGAGTCCTGGCTGCCCCGGCCACACAGGATGGGTGGGTAGAGGCTGCTGAGCCTTTACTGGGCAGCCAGTGGGAAGGATCCCAGGCATTGTCCAGGGCCTCAAAAACCTGACCACTCATCTGATTCAGACCTGGTACAGGGCCCCCCATGGTCCTGTGGCCTGCCCACCCCTCCTTTTACCCCTTATCCTAGGAACAAAGCTCCCAACCCAAGTGCTCCGCTTCATTCCTATCCTGCCCTGGCCCTTGCGTGCACTGCAACCTCTGGGCCTCAGTACAGCTTAGCGCTTGCCCTATGAACTCTCCTGGTAAGATTCAGGACAGGCACAGACAGGAGCCAGGAGAGGGAGAGGTGGGTCAGCCTTTATTGGTGAGCAGGCAGGTGGGGTTGGGGGCTCCCATGTACGTCAGGATGCTGTGAAGGAAGAACCTCAGGCCCCATTGGGGAGGGGGCTTCTTCAGTCACCATGAGCACAGATGCGAATGGGGCTGTTACAGCAACTCCCACCCCATGATGGTCATCCAGACCCCCCTCCCCAGCGTGGGGAGGGCAGGAGCAGTGAGGGGGGAAACTCTGAGGGGTGGCCATGAAGTCAGGCTGGACTAGGTCACACAGACCTGCGGTGATGTGACAGGACTTGCTTCAGGCAGGCAGGACGCCAGGCACTGGGACCTGTGACCTCCTGAAAAGGGCAGTGAAGCAGCAGAAAGCAGCCTCGGGAGGTGAGCTGTGGAAGGAAGAGTCTCAGGGAAAAGCCAGTCTGTCATCCACAGCCCCCAGCATGATGGACTAGAGGCTAAATTAAATGCCCAGGGGACACCAAGGTATGGTTTGGGGCTGCAAGGAGGAACATGGAGTGATCCCCAGCTCCTCCAGACAGCAGCTCAGGCCTGTGCAGACTCCTCACTGCCTGCAGGAAGGAAGGGGCACTCAGACGCCAGCTCTGCCAGGGCAGGAGCCCCCACTCCCACCCTGTCACGCTCCTCACCTCACTCACTTGCTCACTCAGTTGGCGTTCCTCTGGCGGACGTTCTTGTCTTTGTCATTCATGTGCCCGCTGCTCTTCCTGGGGACAGCAGGGGGCTTTTCAGTGCTCAGGAGGACAAGACAGCTGCCCCCCACCCCCAGTCACAGATCAGCAGCTCCTCCAATCCTGCCCACACCACCACCCCATCCCACCCCACTCAGCGAGGCCAGGACTCACAGTGGAGCAGAGCCCGTGTCCTCATCTGTGCAGACGCGCAGCCAAGTCATGTGCAAGAGAAGAACAGGTGTCAGAGGTGGTTCCTGTGCTGCAGGGACTGGTCATGTGGGGAGGCAGTCCCATCCCTGGGACATGGGACCCTCAAAATGAGCTATGGGGTCAGCCCAAGGGCCTCTGGGAGCCCTGCCTGCTCTCCTTGTCCACCTGCAGGTAGGCATGCAGGTGCCCTCACCTGGCCAGGGCGGCTCAGGTTTCCTGAGCTTCATCAGGTAGTCACGGGCTTGCTTGGCCCTGGCCCTTGGACCCAAGCAGCTGATATGAGGGGAGGCTGAGCAACTGAGGGCAGATGCTCACGAGAGGACACCTGCCAGCAGCCAAGTGAGGCTGTGGGGGCAAGCAGATCCCAGCCTCAGAAGGTGGGGCAGGAGGCCCTTGCTGGGTAGATCAGTTGGTTAGAGCACTGTCTGATATGCCAAGGTTGCAGGTTCAATCCCCAGTCAGGTCACATACAAGAATCAACCAACTGCCGAAACCGGTTTGGCTCAGTGGATAGAGCGTCGGCTTGCGGACTGAAGGGTCCCGGGTTCGATTCCGGTCAGGGGCATGTACCTGGGTTGCGGGCACATCCCCAGTGGGGGATGTGCAGGAGGCGGCTGATCGATGTTTCTCTCCCATCGATGTTTCTGACTATCTCTCTCCCTTCCTCTCTGTAAAAAATCAATAAAATATATTAAAAAAAAAGAATCAACCAACCAATGCATAAATAAGCGGAACAACAATTGATGTTTCTCTCTCTAAAAGAAATAAATAAATAAGTAAAAAATAAAAAAGGTGGAGCACCTCCTGAGGAGAAGCCTGGGGACCTGACCTGACCTGTAAAAGGGGGCTGTCCCTCAACCCCAAAGCGCCCTCCACCATACTGCATTCCAGGACAGTGTTCAGGTCCCCGACAGGTGGGGAGCAGGGGCATGGGGCAAGCTCACCATCCAGGACCTCGTCCGGCTTCCGCCGCTTCTCATAGATGAAGATGATGGTGACAAGCACGAGCACCTCAGCCACGATACCCAGGAAGGGCCAGAGGGCAGCGAGGCGGTTGCGCACACGCAGCGTGATGACGGCCTGGTCAGTGCCCATTGCATTGGTGCCATTGCAGGCATACTTGCCAGGGTCTGCCTCCAGGTCTAGGTTCTGGATGTGCAACTCTGTCTTGGTCTCCGAGGACATCACAACCTTGTTCTGGGACGCGTTGCTGAAAATCTGGGGACAGGCAGACCTTGTAGTAGGGCAGAGGCTCAGGCCTTTGCCCCACCCCAGGCAGGTGCAGCCCTCACCTGGACCTCATTGTCATTTATCTTGTACCACAACCAGTCGGTAACTGGGGGGAAAGACTCAGACTTGCAGGCCAGCACAACTGTCTCTCCTTCAGTGGCATGCTCTGACTTCTTCACAGCCTTAATCCTGGGGGGCCCTGGTGGGGAGCAGAGCACAGCAGAGCCTGAGTCCCACGGCCTGGAGGAGCCAACCCCCTTCAGTGTGCGGGATCCCCTCACCCCAGGGATGGATGAGCCTGCCCCTTCCTCCGTGATCTGGGGGCCATAAAGCCGCGCACCCTTCACATTCACTCACCCTCCACAGTCAGGTCGGCGGTTTTGCCTGTAGGTTCCGAGAGGAAGGTGCAGAAGTACTGTCCGGCGCTCTCGTGTGTGTCTACCCTGCAAGCAGACGCAGTCGTGAGTTGACCCTGCGGGGCCAGAGCAAGCCTCAAAGGTCATGATCAGGAGATCCTGCAGGAGGGCACACACTGTCCATGTCCCATCAAGAAGGGACAAGGTGATTTTGGGGATGGCAGATGGGTCTGGCCCCACTCCTGACCCGGCACCGAACCAATGAGCTTCGGTACCATGACCCTAGAAGCCCATAAACCACAGAGCTCTGTGTTTCCAGAGCTGGCTTGGGCTCAGTTAAGACAAGGCTTCAGCTTGGGCAGCCTTGAGTGCCCAAGGCCTTAATAAATTGGGAACACAGGGATTCCGGGCTGAGGGGGACTCATGTAGTGCCCCCTCCCCTTCAGCGCCTGGAAGAAAAAGAAAGGGTCATGGAGGCCGTGATGTCCCTCCCTGGTTCCTGAGCTTTTCACAACTGAGGGATATGAACAGAGCTTGTACCTAACGTCTGTCCAAAGTGAGCCCACGGATCACAGTCTTCATT